CTTGCACACATTCAACAAATTTCCACGGTTTACCACCAATTTTACACTGTTTTTTACCCAACATTTTCCTTAATTTTCAACGTTTTTCCACGTTATCCAACATTTTTCAACATTCATTCTCATAGTCGTGTATGGGCACCCTGAAATTGTGCATATGGAAACTGTGCATACGAAATAATGCATATGAAACAAGTAAGAAAGTCTAAGTTCGGGCGGAGCCGAACATTAAATACCCCGCGCAAGTATTAAATATATGTTTTCCACCTTTCCGAAAGCTACCGCTACATGATAAGCCGGGGTGTATACATTTTAAGTAAATTAGCGTCCTTAAATTTCGAAATATTGAAGTTTCAAGCATTTCTGAAATTTACCGTTATATGAAAAGCGGCCTCAATTTTAGTCCGATTTCAACAATTTTCAACGGTTTGCTTTTATGTGGCAAGCACAATAACCATACCGAGCTTGGTACAAATTGCTAGAACGGTTAGCGAGATACATATATGTGATCACAAGTGGGCGGTGCTACGCCCATTTTCCAAAATTTTGTCATAAACGTATTTCTTGGTAAAGAATTGTTGCAACCATCAATTTTAAACAAATTAGCTTCAATATTTACTGTTTTATCGAAGATTTTGTATTTCTCGAAATTACCGTTATATGGGATGTGGGCGTGGTTATTGCCCGATTTTAGAAATTTTCGGCCATTTGGTATGCTGTACCAGGACCAACAACTGTGCCAAGTTTGGAAGAAGTTGGTGTAGCGGTTACCAAGATATACACATGTAACCATAAGTGGGCGTGGCTACGCCCATTTGCCAAAATTTTGTAATATTCTTATTTTTCGTCTAAAACTCATTGCAAATATTAATTTTTAATGAATTATCTTCAGTAGTTACTAAAATATCGCAGTTTTCGTATTTCTTAAAATTACCTTTAAATGGGAGGTAGGCGTGGTTATTGTCCGATTTCGCCCATTTTCAATACCATCCGTCCTACGCCCAAAGGAAGTTCACGTACCAAGTTTCGTTAAGATATCTCAATTTTTACTCGAGTTATCGTGTGCACAGGCGGACGGACGGACGGACGGACAGACAGTCACCGCTTAATCGATTTCTCTTTTCATTCTGATCATTTATGTATACATTTGTCTATATCTATCTCGATTCGTTTTGCCTGTTACAAACAACCGTTATGTGAACAAAGTTATAATACCCTTGTGCACAAGTGCGCTCGGGTACAAAAAGCCGAAATAATGCATACGAAAAAAACCGAAATAATGCATATATGTACAATTTCGGTTGATAACCGCAATAATGCATATGAGAAAAACGAAGTAATGCATACATGGGGGCACCGAAATTGCGCATATGGAAACTGTGCATTTAGACGTTATCTCGGTTTCAACCGAAACTGGGCATGTATGCTTTATTTCGCTTTTTGCCATATGCATTATTTCGGTTTTAAACCGAAACTGTGCATGTATGCATTACTTCGTTTTTTTTTTCATATGCATTATTTCCAGGTTTCGTATTTGCACACACATGCTCAGCTCGCGCACATGCCAGGAACACATTCAACTTGCACTCATTGCTCATACACACGTGTGTGCATTAATGGAAAGCAAACTCTGCTCACAGCAAGGTGTGTGCTGATTGTTATTAAGCGCATGTACATGTGTGTGAGCCGATTTTAGCACAAATTTCTGCTCATTCACATGCACATTATATATTGTTAAAAGAAAATTTTTTTATAAAACGTTATTTTTTATAAAGCAATTCAATAAAAAGTCATAGTTTGTTTGTTTTTATATGACAGAAAAGATATTTAAAAATTATTTGAAGACTTGAGTTAGAATTCGAAGTGTATGAGTTTCCTCTACGCAAAGCACACACATGTGCTTGTGCTTTATATAAATAAATATAAAGTACACACACGTGCCTGTGCTTGTTACCAAACGGCACACACATGTGCTGTGAGCAAGTTTTTAATTTTTTATATGCACAGCACACGTGTGTGAGCGTAAAATTTTAGGATGTGCTGCGCATGTGAACCCTGATTATTTCGCTTTTAAACCGAAAGTATGTGCATATGCATAATTTCGGTATTTTCTCATATGCATTATTTCGGTTTTCAACCGAAACTATGCATGCATGCATTATTTCGGTTTTTGTAATGTGCATTATCTGTGCATGTCGTCTTCACATATGCATTATTTCGGTTTTTATCCGAAACTGTGCATGTATGCATTACTTCGTCTTTCACATATGCATTATTTTGTTTTTGAACCGTAATTGTGCATGCATGCAATATTTCGGTTTTTGTTATATGCATTATTTAGGTTTTCTAACAAGGGTGTGCATATGGATAATTTCGTTTTTATACCCGAGCGCACTTGTGCACAAGGGTATATTAACTTTGTTCACATAACGGTTGTTTGTAACAGGCAAAGCGAATCCAAATAGATATAGACAAATTTATACTTAAATGATCAGAATGAAAAGAGAAATCGATTAAGCGGCGACTGTCTGTCCGTCCGTCCGTCTGTGCACACGATAACTCGAGTAAAAATTGAGATATCTTAACCACACTTTGTACGTGCACTTCTTTCGGGCGTAGGGCGGATGGTATTGAAAATGGGCAAAATCGGACAATAACCACGCCTACCTCCCATATAACGGTTATTTACAGAAATACGAAAACTGTGGTATTTTAGTAACTACTGAAGATAATTCACTCAAAATTGATATTTACAATAATTTTTAGACGAGAAATAAGAATATTATACATTTTTGGAAAATGGGCGTAGCCCCGCCCAGATATGTTAACATGTGTATATCTTGGTAACGGATACACCAATTTCTTTCAAACTTTGCACAGTTGTTAGCCGTGCTAGAGCAAATGGCCGAAAATTTTTAAAATCGGACAATAACCACGCCTACATCCCATATAATGGTAATTTGGAGAAATACGAAATCTTCGATAAATCAGTAAATATTAAAGTTAAGTTATTCAAAATTGATGCTTGCGACAACTCTTCCCAGGGAATACATTTATGGTAAAATTTTGGAAAATGGGCGCCCACTTATGATCACATATATGTATCTCGGTAACCGTTCTACCAATTTGTACCAAACCCGTTATGGTTATTGTGCTTGCCACATAAAAGCAAAACGTTGAAAATTATTGAAATCGGACTAAAATTGAGGCCGCTTTTCATATAACGGTAAATTTCAGAAATGCTTGAAACTTCAATATTTCGAAACTTTTCAAAATTGATACACCCCGGCTTACCATGTAGCGGTAGCTTACGGAAAGGTGAAAATCATATATTTAATACTTGCGGCGGGTATTTAATGTTCGGCTCCGCCCGAACTTCGACTTTCTTACTTGTTTCTAATATGAATTATTTACGCAGAGAGAAGTTCTGCGCCAAAATACTTCCGGTCCCCTTTTCCGGCAACACAGAAAGGAGAATTCTACTTAGTAAGGGTTATAATCCCTAATCGCGGCCGAAGGCCGCCTACGCAGAAAGAAGTTCTGCGCAAAAATACTTCCGGCCCCCTTTTCCGGCAACACAGAAAGGAGAATTCTACTTAGTAAGGGTTATAATCCCTAAGCTCGGCCGAGGCCGCCTACGCAGAAAGAAGTTCGTTTTCATGTATGAACTATTTCGGTTATTGTCATATGCATTATTTCGGTTTTGAGTCAAAACTGTGCATGTATGCATTACTTCGCTTTTCTCATATGCGTTATTTCGGTTTTCAAACGAAAGTGTGCATGTATTTCGGTTTTTTCATATGCGTTATTTCTGTTTTCAACCGCAGCTGTGCATATTTGCATTAATTCGGTTTTTTTCATATGCATTATTTCGGTTTTCAATCGAAAGGGTGCATATGCATAATTTCGGGTTTACTAATATGCATTATTGCGGTTTTCAACCGAAGCTGTGCATATATGCATTATTTCGGTTTTCTTCATATGCATTATTTCGGTTTTCAACCGAAACTGTGCATATATGCATTATTTCGGTTTATTTTCGTATGCATTATTTCGGGTTTTTTCATATGCATTATTTCGTATGCAC